AGCCTGCCAGGCTCCATGGGATTCTCCAGGCAAGAATACTGGAGTGGGTTGCCATTTCCTTCTCCACAGAGAGTAAGCTCCTCCAGAGCCTCTTCCTCTTCTTAATAAGGACAGCCTTATAAAACAGAACCCCACCCTTATGACCTCATTTAACCCCAATTGCCTCTATAAAGGGCTTCTCTCCGAATACAGTCACACTGTAGGTTGGGGGCTTCAATCTGCAAATCTGGAGGGATGTAATTTAGTCCATAACAGGACAGTTCTCCAATCTTGGGCCAAGAACTTCCCTAAAACACGTGAGAATTTGGGGTAGATCCCACTACAAATTACTGAGGGGAAAATAGCATGTTCAGTCAATGGCATTAGTGCGATAGGGGCAGGGCTGGCCCACAGCCGTTAGTGACTGTTAGTGCTGGACCAGATACCGCGAGAACCTGGGGGAGGGGACAGTTCGTGTGAGACCCAGAGTGCAGTTAGAGAGCCACTTGGCCAACGGCCAGCCTGACACTGGTCCTCGCGGCAGAGACTGCAGTGTGAGTCAGATCAAAGCCTTCTCCCCGGCGTTCTCCAGGCCCCCAGTCCTTGAGTGAGCTCATGGCCTGGGGACAGGGTGGGGACTGTGTCCCGCAGATTGTTCAGAGAAACTTTGAGGAGAGGAAAAGAAGTCAGAATATTAGCAACCAGAGTCAGGAGAAGGCCAGGACAGTCACCAGAGTTCTCTTCATCCAAAAAGAACAAAAGAATGAAACCAAGAGGAGTGTCTCATTGAATTTTAAACTTGAAGTGTATTTTTTATTTTTGCAATTGAAAATCATTTTTGTTATTACTAAACCCATAATAAACGGAAACAGAAGTGTGGGACATATCCGAATTATTTGTCTTGTTAATGAAAGATCGAGTTTGTGAGGGCATTTGAGAGACCTGGACAATGATCTAAAAGATTACAGTTCCATTCCAAGGGGGGAAAAATACTTAGAAACCTGCAGGAAAGCTGTATATTTATTTTCATAAGTAAGAATTTTACAGCCAATGCATGCTAGTCATTTTACAATCCCTTGTAGAAACTACAGTCCTTGTTGGTTGTGGGAAGTTTCTAGTGACAATTAGTCATATGGGCTAAAGAGATTTGACTTTGATAATCTAGAGGCCTCCTCCATTGCTCAGGTTTGCCCTTGAAATAACAAAGATACAAAGGTCAACTGCACATTGACAGTTGACAGGTACATTAATGTGCTCTCAGTTCCGGTAACTGAATCACGTTGTTATTACATATCAAGAAGGCGAAATGTGTGTGCTTAATTGCTTTTGTTTTTCAAGCGCTAAAGGAGAAAAAACAATTTTAACTCAACACAATGAAGGCAGTGAATCTCTCACAAACCAAAGCAGAACTTTAACCAATCTCTTTGTAAACCTGTGAATTTATTCCGATAGCTCTAGCTTCAAAAATGTGAGTAACTTTCTCTGTTTTAAAGATATCTTTATTTATCACAGCAAAAATTCTGAACCTGTGTTTCTCTAATATCATTTCATAAAAGAAAAAAACAATTTTTTAAAAAAATTCCTCAAATTTTTATCAGCTAAACAACATGTGTATGAAGCTATAAAAAAATTTCTTTACATAATGAGGTTTAATACCTATGCCAAATAGAAACAGAAGTATCTTTTAATGTGCTGAATTTCCACATAGTTCAAATCAAAAGTTACTATTATGCTTGTGAAAAATATCATATACAAATTAATACATGAAATATTAGCAACACAACATTATAAACAAACAACTATCAAACACAATTTAATTATATAAAACACAGATTTGCTAAAAATAATACAGCAAACTTATATTTTAGAATGAGAAAAAATAGAGCAAACATATTTTAGAGTGAGCACTGATACAGAAATAAAAACCTAAATGCTCATAATTTGATCAAAACATAAATAATTTTCCTTACAAAGAGGAGTTCTAAACATAAATCATACAAAAATGATGAGCTCAACTTAATTTTTACAAAAACCTTCAATAATCACCCATTATCTTTGGACATATTAAGGATTTAAGACAAAGGAAAAACATTGAAGCAAAAGAATTGGATAGGTTTTCTGCAATCTTCTTCTAAAATTTACTACTGTCATTTCTTCTTCCCATATGCCATTACATTTATGACAATAACTCAAACCTTCAATTAAAATATATGGTTTAAGCAGATGAAACTACAGAGAACTCATTTGGTCCCATTCATAGATTAAAGCTAAGTCGTTGCTGGCTTAAGTCAATGAACCTGCATTAGTCATCTCCTGATTTTATAAATGCTTTATTGTTATCAAGACATTTTTTTAATTCTTTCCTAACTCCCCATATCCTACAAGACATTATGCCTCTTCAAAAACAGTATTTTTCTTCCTCATCAACATGTGGGGGCACATATTTGTTCTCCATCCAAGTCACTTAGACTTCATGGTAAGAAATATACAAATTTCATGTAGTAAGAACAAAATCAGACCCATCCAAATACCAGGATATTTTCTGAAAAGCAAAAATCTTACACTATTTACAAAAACGATATTTAATAATGAAGAACTGTACATGCTCATCACCTCAGAAAAGCAGACTAACCTTAAAAAAAAGAAAACTGTTCCATTTCAGGATATATCACTCATACAAGGAACCTAAAAATCTTCTGCACTGAATTTGAAAATTAGATAAACTAATAGATTAATAAGTCAGACTTTTATTCTATTTGTAGTGAACTTGGCTACTTGATACCAGACTCCTCTCTAGATGTTCATGGAAATCACACACACATTAACAAGCAACAATGACTTTTGACAGACCCTGTATTGGCAGGACATATTCTGCACCTGAAGTTTTTGGTACTTAAGACTGATGACTGAAGACTTGTAGTCTGTAGTTAATTTAGGAAAATAAGGTTATATAGATAGATACATATCTCACCCTTCCCTAGAATTAATTTTCCATTAAAATGCTGGTAGAGTTTTATTTTGAGAAGAATTTAAAATATCCTATAGTCTTCAGGAACCAACTTTTAAAGCACCATGATATACATCATTTCTTAGCATTTCCTTTCTAACAGTTTATATCCATTGCTTCTCTCAAGAGCCTTATTGCATTAATAATGCTGTGCCTGAGGAAATCTTTTTCAACATTTTAAAGTGTGTGAGTGCATCTGTGTGAGTGTGTTATGTGTCTATGTGTATCTATGTGGTCTATTTCTGTTCAGATTGGCAACAGTTCAGATGTGAAGCTTTCTGCTTAGCAATTAATCTATCTTCTAAATTTTTGCCTTGGCTCCTTGTTGAGCAAAAAATGAAAGGATAGAGCTGATCCTTTAGGAGAGTCAGTTAACAAAACAAAGAAGACTTCCTGTTGTTCAGCGGCCACAATTTTAACTGGGTGAATTTGCTTTATCCTTTGGGTAGAAGATAGAGTATTCAGTGAAATTTTCAGGGATGTTGGTTTATGAGCTGTAAACTAGAAGAGTTAACATAAGTTCATATTAGTATGGCTTCACAGTTGTAAGCCTACAGAGAGATCTAACTGACTCCAAGTCATTCATATATATACATAAAAATGGGTTTATGCTTACATATGACAACAGGAATTAACACAGAATAAAACAGAAGGCACAAGAGGGTATTAATCTCTTCCTATGAGGCTGGCTTTCTAATACCGCCCCCTCAAAAATGTCTTAAAAAGTCATCCTATGACCATACAGAAATATAATGAGTAAAAAGTCATCTTATGGCCAGAGTATCTTGTTTTATATGAGAAATCCATGGATGCTCAAATGCTATTTAAATAGAAGCTAAACCAGATAAACTGTCCTTTGCATGAGAAATGACTTTAGTTCAACTCGATGGACATGAGTTCGAGTAAGCTCCGAGAGTTGGTGAAGGACAGGGAAGCCTGGCGTGCTGCAGTCCATGGGGTAGCAAAGAGTTGGACACGACAGCGACTGAACTGAACTGAAAAATCTTCCCTATTCTTACTGCGTAACTCCCAGTGTTTCATTTCAACTAACAAATCCATTGTTGACAAGTGTGTTAAATGCAATTAAATTTAAGAAAAGCATTTCATTAAAATCAAAACTATGAAAATAAAAAAGTAAAACTATGAAAACTATCACAAGAAATAACAGATCAAAACATTCTATGACTGGTCACCACATAAAAGCTCCATTGGTTTTACATAGAACCCTTTATAAAACAATAGCTGAAGCCTAACCAAGATCTCTTCTGTTCACTCACATAAATGGTCTCCAAACCAGTCAGTGAGTCTCAATTTGTGCAACTAATCTGCCACAGAGGCCACCATTCCCAAAAAGCAAAATGTCGTTTGGGAGGTGAATTAATTTGCATCATGTGTGTTAAAGTCATCTCCAAAATGACCATTTACAGAAATCATCTGTTAATGATTTCTTCCTTGGTAAAACAACATTTTTTTTTTTTTTTTTTTCTTAGTAATATATGCTTGCAAAGTGTTTTAAAGTCATTAGTGATTATTCATTCCTCAAGTTAGGTCACAATTATATCTTATAGATAGGTGGTGAAATATGCTCATAGAAGTATTATATCCCAATGTTAAAGTTTTTTGCTACAGTTATTGTAGCCTATCACTTTCTTAAAGTATATTTAAATACCTTAAATATATTTAAATGTTTTATTTAAAGTGACATTGTGCTTCACTAAGATGACTCTTAAAAAGTTCCTCCAAACCTAAATATTAAGTGTGTTTGTGTGTGTGTATTAGTTTCTCAGTCATGTCTTGCTTTGCAACCCCATGGACTGTAGCCTGGCAGGCTCCTCTATCCATGAGATTCTCCAGGCAAGAATACTGGAGTGGGTTGCCATTCCCTTCTCCAAAATGTTAAGTATGATGAAGCAAAGAACAGGAAAAAATGAGAGACACTATCTTTACTGAAGAAGGAAGAGCTAGATAAAATCCTCATTAAAGAAAGAAGAACCATCTTGATAATTAGTTATAATTTCTTATATGCAATCTTTTATTTTTATAAACTATTTGAAATCATTAACTCCAGACCTAGTAATAGTGTGGGAATTTAACATTAAAAAACCAAGTCATCTATTGCCCTAGCAACAAAGATTATTAAGATGATTGCTTATTACCTGCAAAGCTTTATACTGTCTCACTTGAAAAAAATAAACCTACTAGTAGAAAGAACAATCTAGAGTTTATCTTAGAAATATAGTACCCCATTTATAATTCATCCTCCTAGATCAATATACCTGTATATCAGTATCTCTTTCCAACACTGTTATAGTCACTGCATATACTTCCTATTTATGGAAAATATTAAAATAGCTTTTAAGAAAAATATATCAGTTTTCTATAGTATTATTGAGTGCTTTATATAACTTTAATTCCAAGTGATTGGTTATGAAACCTGGAGGGCGGATAAATCTTTCAAAATCATCATTAATAATGAATTCTATGAAAGCACAAGAAGTTAAAATTGCAAATTTCTACATAACTAACAAAAAATACTCTTTAATATGAGAAAACATTATTTCTATATTTAAGGAAGAACTACATCATCTCTTAAATATTCAAAACTAACATGACCTTTTTTCCCCACATATACCTGACGAGGCAATCTGATTTAATTTAATTAACCCTAGAACTGTAATCAGGAACTGGTTTCATTATGACAATTTTTAAACTTTTTTCAACAATTCCTATGCTATAGCTTCAAATTATAGAGAAAAGAATCTCCTTAAAAGTCTAAATATAACTGACCATGAAAAGAAGTATTTGCTGATACCCCTAAGGGAAAAAATATGACAGGGCAGTTCTAATAAAAATAAATAAAAAGCAAGAGAAACTGAGGCGTAACAAAATCTTACAGCCTAGGTTTTTTATCTACTACACGGCCTTGCTCTTTTTGTTAAAAAACTGTTTGGAGAAAATTCAATCTTTGGAATACCCAATTTTGAGTTTTCTAATATAATAATATGAAGAAGAGAGGAGTATTATTGGTAATGGTAGACTGGATCAGCTAAAATCCATTGGATACCAGAATCTGTAAACCACCCAGACAGGCTCAGCGATACAATTAGGTGTTCCATTCTGTAATTCCTTCCTGAGTGTGTATCATTAAAGCTGGACAATTAAAACCTGCAGTATTTAAGGGAGGGGCATGACAATATTGTCGTGGAATACACTGAGCGAATACTTCCTCCTTCCAAAATGAATACCTTGCATTTTCCTTTTAATTCTTTTAAGGTGGATTTTGGCTAAGGAGGAAGAAAGAAAGGAATGTCAACAAGACACAGAAACATTTCAGTCTATTGCCACCTTCAAATTACCTCTGAAACTAAGTTGCAATTAGTTTATTCAAGAGTTTATTGCTTTTTTTAAAAAAATAGTACGTGCTTTCCTATTATCATTTTTTAAAATTCTAAGCCCTCTTAGATAAGTGCTTTAGCATAAGCTGCCATCCAATAATCTCACTTCTCAAGAACAGGTATGGTCTTGTGTTTTTCCATCTTTACAAAGGCAAGTGGCCAACTGTCTTCCAGGGCAAAATCCCCTCTATTACGCTTAATTTTTCTACATGACTTTTAAAAACACAGCTGATAAAAAGAAGTCACTCTCCTTTAGTAGCTCTTCAAAGTTATCTAGTCTTTCCCAGTAGTCAGGCTCTAATTTTAAATTTCAGTAGGTAGTATTCAACCACATTGTCACATTATGTTTAGCAATAGCTATATACTTATTCTTCAAGTATTTAATCCTTCATTTTTCTTATACTCAATATACTTTCTTTTTAAAAATCATCCATGCTATGACAAATTATCCTTGTTTTGTTCACTGTCATCATTTTCTTGTGGACTAGTGATTTTTACTTCTGGTCTTGGTGGTCTTTGAGGGTCCAAGTCAGCCTGAGGGAAAAACAGATGAAAATAAAGATATTTAGTTCTTCAGTTACAGAGGCAATAAAATTTACAGGGAAAAAAATGACTCAATATTGTCTTTAACCCTTATAAATATTTAATCCTTATAAATAATCCTATAGAAATACCTCTTCATGTCCACTGCCAGCTCCTTGAGACTTTATTTCCTCATCCACCGCTTCTTGAAGCTCATTATTAACCTGTTCCAGTTCCTCGCCGTTTTCTTCATCGGTGCCTCCATTCACACGAGCCGCAGAACCTGCCTGCTCCTCTCTGGGATCCGGGATCTCCTCGGCTTGCTCTGGAGCTTCGGGCTTCTCCTGGTCTCCTTCGTCCTCTTTAACTTCACCATTCATTCCTGAGAAGTCTTCCTTCTGTTCCACCTCCTTGTATTCTTTCTCTCTATCTTCTTCCTCATCTACTATTTCTGCTGGCCTCTGATGGATCAAAAGAAATAATGGATAAAGATAGGAAGCAGACCAGAGATTTTTCCATAGCACATTATAATAATATAATAATTATAGTATGACTGTCAAGTAAAACTTCCGTACGTTTGCACATATATAGTATGTCCTGTGTTAACCTCTACTGAATAGCTATAGACACCACTCTTCGCAAATATTTTCTCACTGAATTCTCACAATGATCCTATAAGGTTGGTAGTATTCCCATTTTACAGGTGAGAAAACTAAGGTACAGGGAGATCAAGTATCTAGCCCAAGATTCCACTGCTTATAAGTGGAAGAGCCAGAACGAGAACAAAGCATGTAACTCCATAATTAATGTTCTTACTCCCCATGGCAAAGAGAAAATTAAACTATAAGATCCTTGGCCAATGTTTAGTGGAATGTCTGGCCCAGAGGAGGAGATTTTTAAAAAATTCTTTGGGGAGAGGTTATCATCCCTACCACTAGTGTTTGGTATGTATTTAAATTTCTAAGTGTGAACAAAGGGGACGACGATGCCAAGGATGTGAATCCGGGATTTCTAAAAAAAAACATGGACAGCTTTCCACATAATGCCTAAGAGAGTGGACTGTATATCTGCAAATACAAAAATTGATTGTCGTGAAGATCCAAAGCCAAGAAACAATAGGTTCTTTCTTTCTATAAAAATGCTTAAGTACTTTATAAACTCCAAAGGAATTTTTACTGCTCTTTGGATACATGTAAGTCTGTTTTAAAAGAGAACAAGAGGCAAAACTCCAGAGGCAAGATTTTGGAGAGAGAAAGACCCAGGTTAAAGTTCCAGCCAGGCATTGCCTATTACCCAATTTCTTTGAATTTGAGATTCTCCACTTGTAAAACAAGAATGTAATAAAACTTCCATAGGGAGTAAATAAGTTATATGTAGTACCTAGCAAAGCACTTGGCACTGCATGATCCTAGAAAAAAAAAATTAAAATATTTTCTCATTTGTTGTTCTCATTCTTTCCTGAACCTACCATATTTCTTCCTTGCCATAAATAATAGTTTTTTTTTTAAGGATCAGGTAGAAAGAATATCGAATTTATTTTATGTTATGACCCCACACCTGCCTCTTTCCAGCTATCTGACATTGAACAGGTCCCTTAATCATCTGGAATCTGGAAAATGAAGGTTTGAGATGCAGTAACTCTGACCTCCCTTCTAACTCTGGAAGTCCATTCTCCTCTAACTGCCCAAATTCTTCTTATGAAGTGAAGTGAAAGACACTCAGTTGTGTCTGATTCATTGTGACCCCATGAACTGTAGCCTGTCAGGCTCCTCTGTCCACGGCATTCTCCAGGCCAGAATACTGGAGTGGGTAGCCGTTCCCTTCTCCAGGAGATCTTCCCAGCCCAGGGATGGAACCCAGGTCTCCTGCACTGCAGGCGGATTCTTTGCCATCTGAGTCACCAGGAAAGCCCCAAATTCTTCTTATGGGGCTATAAGTCGTCTTCTTATAAGTTTCCATAATGCGCTCAGTTTTGGAAGTCAAGAAGGGAGGAGATGGAGCAGAGTAGACTAAAAATTCCGGATAAAATTCAACACATTATTTTGAACAGGAAAAGACATCAAAGAATGCAGAGCGGGGCAGTCACACATCACATGGTCGCAGGGCAGGCGGAGAGAGCAGTAACTCAAGGTGGGGTGAGGTGGCCTGAGGCCAGAGCTCACACATCTGTGCACAGAGATTTCTATAGCACGGTATGAACTGCATTTACAGGTGAAGAACAAAAGACAGGCAGCAAAGACACTGAGCACCCATCACCCGTGAGAGCCAAATGTCACCCTCAGTCCTCATACATTCATCATTTCTGAAAACCCTCACGAGAACCCTATGAAATAGGCTTCTGATGCCCATTATATGAATAAGGAGGAATAAATGAGAAATCAGTCAATGTTGCCAGCATCACAAAGCAGGTGAATACACAGGGCTAAGGTGGAACCCAAGGCAATCTTGTCCCAAAGTCCTGTATTCTTCCTCACAGTAATAACACAAGCAGTTGATAATTTACCTAGTTGCTGCTGTAAGCACACTCAAGGGTACTTTCAATGGCCAGAAAATATGACACATGCAGCTGACAATAATACTTTTACTGTTTAAAGAATTACTAACCTGAGAACAAAACGTTTCTGGATTTCTACTAAAAGACCAGTCGATCGAGGGAGGAACTTTTTGAAGATTATTAGGCAGAGTATGTGAAGCAGGACAGGACAAAATCTAGAAATATTGCAGCACTAATAGTAAGAATAAAACGATTTCTTTGCAAATTATCTCTGAGAATTGGATAACTGTCTATTAGTCTCCTGGAAAATGTAATCTTCACTATGCCTAAACTTGCTTTAGGGTTTCCCTGGTGGCTCAGATGGTAAAGAATCAGCCTGCAATGCGGGAAACCGGGGTTCGATTCCTGAGTCGGGAAGATCTCCTGGAGAAAGAAATGGCAAGCCATTCCAGTATTCTTGCCTGGGAAATCCCATGGACAGAGGAGTCTGGCAGGCTACAGTCCACGGGATCATAAGGAGTCGGACACGACTTCACCACTAAACAACAACAAAACTCGCCTTATTCATAACAACTTCGGGTTTTGGTTTTAAAGAGAAGTTAGCATTTTTTAATACAAAATCTTTAATAATAACAACAGAAAACTCAAATTTTTCGTGTAATTATTCAGGAACCTAAGGTCCCTTGCTCCTGAGAATATATTACAAGAGCTTGCTAAAGTCTGCTAAGGTGACTGCTGCGGTCTCAGTGGGGAAAAGTCTGTTTTCCTTTACTGACATCTGGATTTATACAAAAAAATTGCCAAATGATAGAGTGTTGCTTTCTGGTTTTGAGTTTCTCATCTTACTCCTTTCTTTACTCCCAAATGAATATTCATTTTTTCCCCTTTAATGAAAAGAGCTGGGCTGCAATATACACTAATCTCCTTTTACGGATAGAGATACCCAGCCCTAAATTCAGGCTCTGTTCTCTTTGCTATTATTGTCACCACTACTACACAAGCAGTATTATGTTTTCATCCCATTATTTCTATTAGACTTTCCCAGCACAGCTATTTTAGTAGTCATCAAAAGAAGCCATATCTGGTTAGCTCAACTTTCAGAAATGCAAGATTATGGGGCTGAAATACCAGTTTGATCAATTTAAATAGGACAATAACATTAGTTAAAAGGCTTATAATCTTTTAAAATATCCTGAGTGTAGTATGAAATCTACTATTACTACAACACTACAATTCAGGACAAAAAAAAAAGAAAGAAAGAAAAAATGCTTCTATGACAGATCCATAATGAATAAATGAAAAGCAATGTGCTTTTTGGTGTAATCTCCTTTGAAGCAAGCATTAAATTATTAAAGATGTTTCCAGTGTATACATCAATCAAATCATCCCCAGAAGGAACACTGAGTTTTATACCTATACACACACACACACAAGGATAAAATCTATACCATAGCAAGGGCTTGCAAAGAAGTAAAAAATTTAAAAAACACTGTTTCTATAAGAGAGTGGGCGTCCATTCATAGACAGCCACATTATATTTTAAGTGTGCTCTCATTCCACCTCATCAAAAAATGAAAAAAAAAAAAAAACTTAGCAACTATTTAATTTCTTCAAAATCCCCAAGTTTTCAGCCTCTGCTTGTTAAGCTGAACCTGGCTGACTGCCCAGCTAAACAGGGACAGTCAGCCACCAGACGCCAGTGTCAGCGCATTGAGCAGGGGTGACCTGTATACAGAGCCCGTGTTCCACGCTGCCACTCACCCAAAGAACCTTACAAGATCCAGATAAGGTTAATTTCAACAGAGGAGAGTAGACGCATCACCATAAGGGCGGGATTGGAGGGTTTGGGGAGAAAGAAACGGAAAAGGTGCGAGTAAGAATCACAAGTTCAACCTGAGAAAGTGAAGAAGGAGGAAGACAGACAGGCAGGGAAGAGCCCTTTCCCCCAGGTCCGATCACACTGTTCTTTTTACAGTGAAGGGAAGCAGAGCTCTCATACAAGAAGTCACCTCTCCTTCCAGCAAGAGCCAGGTCTCCCATGATCCCAAGGGACTGTGTTCAGACTTGAAGAAGATCATGAGGCCGGTGGGGCAGTGGTTCCTAGACAAAATTTCTGCCTACTCATGTCTTCTACAATGGTGATGTCAACTGGCAGTATAAAATATACACTGTGCAAGATGAGACAGCTGTGGTCTGGTGGAAATAATGACCTCACAGAATTGAGTAAGGACCAAATGAGACCATTAAAAACTGGAAAAGCTACATATATATGCATATATATATATGTTTATTACTGTTACCACTCCATTTTTCTTGCATTGAATGGAAGGAGTTGAGAGGTTGTCTGTGAAATAGTATAGTATAAGATTTGCACTAATGAAATTGTATTCTGGTGAGCCACTTAGAGCAGTATCCCATCTAAATCTCATTCATGGTGAAAACAAATAAAATACAGCAAGACACAGCAGTCATCTTGCTCTTTTTGGTTAATACAGGTAAAACGCAGGCTGATGTTCAACTTCCAGTCCATTGAGACAGCTAGGTATGATCTTCATAAACTAATCACCCTCGTTTTAGTTACTTAATTTTATCTTTGCTTCTGAGTTTGCTGTCAGGCATTTTTCACGACAAATTTACCATTCAATAGCTTTCTTTGTTTCTGAACTCTATTCACTCTTAAAAGTAATACAAATGTGTCAGCAAGACATACCAAAAAAGGATGACTTCCATAAATTAGTGTGTGCACTTAGGCAATGGATGACTTTTCAGTTTAATGACAAGTTGGCAGTAGCCATTCAGCCTGTTCCTTCTACCTCTGCCTGGAAGGATCTACCTTCACTCTGATAGACCCAGTTCATTTCAGTTCAGTCGCTCAGTCGTGTCCAACTCTTTGAGACCCCATGAACCACAGCACGCCAGGCCTCCCTGTCCATCACCAACTCCTGGATTCTACCCAAATCCATGTCC